AGCACCTGTATTTGAAACAATTTTATGCTTGTTTGCCACTGTGAGGCTTTAACAGTATCTGTTTCCCTAAATTAGACAGAATTATGGTAGACATGGGAACAGTTTCCAAGAAGAAATTCATGCCCAGGTTTTTATGCCAAAAATAACTGTTTCTGAAAGAAAATAGGAACAGTGTATATTTGATTGTGACATTTTCAAACAGTAGTTGTGCACTATGTAGCCTTCCTTCCCCATACCGTCGGAATTGCAGCGGTAATCATATTGATTTGTATCCTTTCACAGAACATTGACTTGCATGCCTTAACTGGCTGGATCCCAGAACGACAGGCCATCAAACCAGACTCTAAGGAATTTGACAAAGACAAAGTCTTTGCTAAACTCAAAGACCGCTTCCATAAAGGTGATGTCCTGGCTACCTTGGCAACGGGTGTGATGTCAGATGCGGAAGGGGACCGGGCAGGACTGGTGCCTACACATGCATATGCTATGCTGGATATACGTGAGATAATGGTCAGTTATTAATAACAAACACAATGAGGTCCACATAAAATATTTGGCATAATGGTCATTTGATGTAGCAATTTTTAGTCACAGATGCACATACCTGGCAGTTCTGAATTCAATCCCATTCAAATGTGGCAGCCTGCCCCACAAAATGTGGTGTGAGGATTTGGGTCAACATTCACACAGAAGAAACAAAGTTAACAATGTAAAACACTGAAATCTCTGCATTTTGGTAAATGTATGCTCTTTCATGTTTCACCTTTTGGGCTGTCCCCGCTGGTGGTAGAATTGCAGATTGAAATCACATTTGCTCAAGTCATCGCTTGAAAAATTCATGCAAGATGTAGTACAATTACAGTGGTTTCAGTTAAATGGCTTTGTAATAAATGGACTGTGCTAGGAACCATTCTAATACTACAGCATTTGGAAGTCTATACAAAAAGTCTGAAGTTGACAACGAAATGTCAGGCAAGCATTTTTGAAAAAGATTAAAACCAGCAAAATATTTATCACAGATTTCTGTAAGTGGAGAAGCAAATTCAAGGGTCTATCTGCATATTCATCTCTGTTTTGCTGATATTTTGATTTGAAATCTTCTGGCTTTGTAGCCATTATCATCCAACTCACATAATTAGGACGTACAGGCAATGTAGGCTCTCCATGAATAATACCATGGAGGAAGGACACAGAAGGAGTTGTAACTCAGGCACTTCAAAGTGTCCAACGATGGTCGCCGCCGAGTCTGACGAATAATTGAAAAT